TTAAATTAAAAATTTGGAGATTAAATTTGATTTGGTAAAATACTTAAATCCACCTCTAAAATATAGTAGTAGGGTGGATTCATCACCGAATAAAAAATAAGGATAAATCTACCTGTAAAATTTTCAATTTAGACAGATCACTCTAAATTTAACATGTGATGTTATTAATATATTAATTTGTTATATTGTTAATGATAAATTATTAACATCAAATAGCGTCAAGTTAATGAAAAACTAATGTAAGATGATATCACATATTAAACTTAAAATAATTTATCCAATTCAAAAATTTTATAAAAAAATTTATTCTTATTTTTGTTCAAAAGTAAATCTGTCATGTTCGTTATAATTTGGTGGTGAATTTTGGTATTATGTCCATTAGATTTTAACCTTCTCTTTTTGGGCCAACCTCGTGTCTTCCATGTAAAGCCCATAGATATGGAGTAAGAGATGAGAAGTGGAATAAACGGCGTGGATAAGATGTGATTTGAAAGGGTGGAATCAGCGGTATAGGGCGGATAGTGTAAGCAAAATGTCGCTATGCCCTTTAAGCTTAAAAATCTGAAAAACCTTCCCACTTTTTCTCCCGCCTTTTCCTCTCTCCTTTCTCCTCTCTCTATTTCCATGCCCTAACTGTCGGTACGTTCCAGTCTCCGGCTGGATATCCTTGACCATCGATCCGACGCTGGGGCCAAGAAATTTAGATAACAGAGCATCTTTCACTGCTCTGTTTTCTGGACGCTTTTTAGCCCCGATTTGGTGCCAAAGGGCCTCGTATCGGCGCTCTATCGGTGCCTAGAGTAGAGATCTGGCCGCCTCAAACAGAGAAACTGAGCTCTGTTTCCTGTCGTTTCGTATAACGAGTCCACGACGTCAACCGGTGCCGCTAGGTGCCAGGGGGGACAGTGGCCTTCACGCCGTGTTCTGGATTGTGGCAATTCACGATGTCCACTACTACGGTAAGGAACGTACTCGCCGTCTTTTCTATTTTTTATTGATTTTTCTTTTAATTCTCTTTGAAGCGCCTTTGAATTCGATACAGTTTTTATTGAGGTGTTTGTGTTATGAGTAAATGTTAGGATAGAAATTGCGTCTATTTTTCTTTTTAATTTTTGGAAGGCTGATATTCATGTTTAGTGAATTTAATGAACTCTACTTACTATTTTAGTTTTTCTGTTTACGGATTGTTTCATTTGACAAGTGAATTCGTGATCGTGATGTAAACGATTTAACCCTAAGTTTACAATGAAAATCATCAATCATTCTATCAAACAAGTCAACAGCATTGTTGCATTAATCCGCTTTACCATATGCCTTAAGAATAACAATGAAAATTTTCTCCACACAAACCCTAATTTCATCCTTTATTTGATTCAAAACCTTCTCTAAAGATGCGGAATGTACCTCGTTTGCATAACTACTTATCAGATAATAAAAGGTGAAATTTATAAATGAGAATCTAATTGAGAAGCCGACCAGAATATTTGGTCAGAGATAGCGAGTTAGGGATCTTCACAGTCTTCACAAGGATGGACCGATAGGAAACGGATGTGCTATGCTTGAGCTTATCCGACAATAAATGGCGACAGTCTGTCCTTGAGACACCAGTCGGCACCACTTGAGCACCGATCCGACTACCACGGCATCGAACGAGGGCTAAAAGGCGTCAAGAATGCTCGATCCAAATTCTTTACTCCACGAGGCAGGAATCGGCACTCTGAGAGAGCCTCCAGGAGACCAAAACCGTCGCCCGGTGCCGCCCAGCTCTTCTTCCAGACGGTAGGAGCATGAACCGCCACAGGGAGAAAGGGCGGAGGAAAGGAGGGGTGAGGTGATGGAGGAAAGCGGGAAAAAACAAAAGGACGAATTCGTAAAATCCCTGGCGAGGTTGTTTATTTACTGTTTAGATAGACAAGCATGGCCCTGGTGTGGCTAAAGCATAATATTTTAAGGCCCTTTTATTATGAGCCCAAGTTCTTAAAGCACGGAGCCTTCTTCCTAGAGGAGGCCCAAATCCCAAACTGGCTTTGTTTGGGGATGAGGAGCGCAATTTTTATATATTAATATATTAATATTATAATAAAAAATAAAAATGATACTTTTAATTTTTATTTTTTAATATAATTTTTAACTTGTAAATTTTTTTTTATTTTGAAAAGAAATAATCTCTCTGTAACTTTTTTTTATATTGAATCCATTTAATAATTTATTATTATTTTTATTTTTATATCAAATATACCAAAATTAATAATTTAATAAAATTTTAACAAAATTTATTATAAAGCTCAATAACTTTTTATACTATAATTTTTAAATATTCATAAAATATTCTTTAAATTATTTTTAATAAAATGGCATTTTAATCAGACAAACGTAAATGTTTTCAATGTGATTAGTCATAAGTGAGTAGATATTATAAACAATGCAATAATTTTTTTTTCCCGATAAAAGAATTATCCAATATATTAATTAAACATTCTCCTTCCCTACTAAATAATCTCCATTTTACTGAAATTAAGCCATACCATTAAAATGAAAAGAGAGAGAGAGAGAGAGAGAGAGAGAACTAAGAACTTTAATGCATAGGCTTTAAAAACGCTATCCATTTAATGATACAAAATAGTCCAACGATAGTATGTAACTAACTTTAAGATTTTTAATTATCAGGTTTCAATTAATAACTTTAGGGCGTGTTTTTGGTTTATTAAGAATTTTGGAAAAGTTTTTCGGAGAGCCTTACAAATTTAAAAGCCCGATTTGATACATGTAAACCATTTTAAGTAAGGTTAACTAATAAAATAATTTATGAATAACTCGTGAATTATTTAAATTAATAAATAAGTTGAGTTCTATAAAAAATTGAGTTTGAACTCAAACTTCTATAATTATGCTCATAAATTATTTATGAATATTTAGTTTAGAATTAAAATTTATATTATATATATTTATTAAATTTAAATAAATAATAACCTATAACCCTCACAAAGTTGAAAAAGTAATAAGTTACATATTTTGAGTAAAACTATTAATAAAAATGTTTAAATAAAATTTATGGTCTTTTTATTGTTGGACTTAATATATTTAAGTTTTAATATTATAATATTTTTTTAAAAATAACAAAACTATAATTAAATAATTAATTATTAAAATATTTTAAAATTAAAAAAAAAAACTCGAATTCAAATTAAAGTACTTAGTTTGCTTGAGCTTGTAAGTAAATTCAAAATCTTTCAAATACTCGTGAGTGTGAATACAAATTTAATTATTTTGAATTCCATAAATATATAAGTTAGAATTTTTAAAACAAGTTTACACGAGTATTTAAGTATTTAACTCATTAATATCCTTAATTTTAAGGGATTATTATCATCAAAGGGACCAAGCAATGAAAAAGAACACACAACATGAGGTTACATGTGTTAGGCCATAAATGATAGAGGTTGATTAGCATCTTTCGAGGGGTTTTAGAGTTAATTTGCATTATTCGAGAGGTTTGAAGGCTTATTTACACCATTTGTAGTTTAGGGACTCATGTGTTAATTTGAGGTAAGTTTAAGGGCTTAAGTGGTGCTTTTGGCCTTTTTTTTTTTTTTGGGTACATAAGACCGAAAGCAGTTAGGAGGACCGAAATTGTTCTCTCCGACTATCTCTCCCCATCGCCGGAGACATGTGAAGCCATATCCGAGAATTGTGTTCGTTTTTTCAGATCTGGAAATCCAAAAGCCTGCTAACGAACCCCATGTCAGGTCTCAAACTCGCCACCGCAGCCTCCATCTACGCCACGCCATGCAAATGGGTCCGGACTATAACCACCACCTCCCGCGGGCACATGATTGCACCCCGGCTGCATGTTAGCTTTCCCCTCTCTCGTAAAAACCCAGGATTTAGAACTCTGCTCCCTAGGTTTCCTCCAATCCGGTGTTGTTCCTCTTCCGGTTCCTCCATAGATAAAGGAGGTTTTCCAGGGTCCAGGTCGGGTCTTGTGGCTGATATGGATTCAGATAACAAGCCGTCTCCTCAAATACAGCAGCAGAAGCAGACTTCTTCTAAATTTCTTACTTTGCCAACTATTTTAACGCTCGGCCGTGTCGCTGCTGTGCCGATTCTCATTGGCAGTATGTTTCTTTCTGAATTTTGCTTATCTAATTTGAGGTTTTCAGTTGGTTCCTGCCTAAATTTGGCGGTTTTGAGTGAAATTAGGGTTCACTTACTAATTGGGCTCTGATAGCAAGTTTGGAGCTTTAGTTGTACTTATGTGCAGTTACAGTGATGTTATGGGTCCTAATCAAATTTGTTGTTTTCTTGGTGGCTCGAATGTAATTTGATGTGATTTTGATCTAATTTCAGGCTGTGATATTGTGGTTTCCTTAGTTCTTGGCTTCTTTTCTGTCTGAAAAATCAATCAGTGGCTTAATGAGCTACAATGGATAATCATGTACTTTGGGTGGCATAATAAATCTATGAATTGCGGATGGGTTGTGTGATTTGTGTTCCAAGTGGAAATTGCTAACTCTGCTTCTGGATGCTGTTTCTCTTGTATGAAGTGAAAACATAGTAGCCAGGCTTTGCATTGGATGAATTAACCATCTCAATTCTTTTGTTTTTACTTTAGCCTTTTATGTGGATAGTTGGTTGGGAAGGACTGCTACGACAAGTATATTTATAGCTGCTGCTATCACTGATTGGCTTGATGGATACCTTGCTCGAAAGGTATGCTTTTCCTTACCCTCCCTAACTAGCCTTGGTTTTTTTGTTGTGGGTTATACTTAAATGATTCAAAGCAAAATGTTTGTTTCCAGATGAGGTTAGGCTCCAACTTTGGTGCATTTTTGGATCCAGTAGCTGACAAGGTGAGATCTTTATTCCTTGATAGTTTTTAGTTTATTTATCCTCTCTATATGGCTTGTGAGAACCATCAAACGGTTTGTCTGATTTCCTTGCCCATTGAATGTAGCTTATGGTTGCCACCACGTTAGTCTTATTATGTACAAGACCATTGGAAGTTGCTATGTTTGGACAAGTGCCATGGCTGATGGCTGTACCCTCAGTTGCCATAATTGGTAGGGAGGTAATTTTTTTTCCCTTTTATTTTCTTAGACATTTTGCTTCTTTGTGTGTTTTCTCTCCTTCCATTGATCCACCTATAATATGAGCATTGAAACAGCTAATTCAGATTGCACCTTAGTTAATACTTTTCATCTTGTTCGTGAAGTCTTTTTTGGTTAATATAGTTGTGAGAAAGAATAAAGAATTAATTTAATTGTGGTTAAAATCAAGCACCAATTGCAGACATCTTATTAATATTTTGCTACTTGTAGATAACAATGTCCGCGGTCAGAGAATGGGCTGCGTCTCAGGATACTAAGCTTTTAGAGGTTTGTTTCCTATGCGATAGTTTTACTCAACTCTCTCTATTACATCTAACCAAACCACTCCTGTTGTGTCCTAGAAAAAATTCATCATGAGCAAGTGCTTGATGTATGGCATTAGCTTATACTATATGTTCTACCCTGCTCTGCAGGCTGTTGCTGTAAATAACCTGGGAAAGTGGAAAACTGCAACCCAGATGGCTGCATTGACCATCCTACTGGCTACACGAGATAGCAGGTCTGTTTACTTCCTCCCTTCTTTATCCTTTCTTTCTCCCAGTGTTATGAACTCGCTCTTAAAAAAGAGTCATTTAACTATTGTCAAAGTCATAAGTCCTGAAAGAGAATGGCCACATTTTTTGATCTTTCCTGTTCATTGTTATGTCTTTGCAGTCTTGGAGGACCTGGCATCTTAGTAGCTTCAGGTGTCTTTTTCCTTTATATCTCAGCAGGGCTTTCTCTTTGGTCTTTAGCTGTCTATATTGGGAAGATATCAAAAGTACTGATAAAGTAATCTCGCTGGCCTGTCAGCTGCATTTGCTTTGTAATGGTGGGGATGGTGCTTTGTAGATCATTTAGGAATGAAAATTTTCACACATTGAAGCAGGACTCATCACTTAAAGTAGATCAAGGCAAAGGCAAATTGATTCTTTCTTTTCTCAAGTTCCTGCATTTCTAAGCTCTAAGCTTGTTTACTTACATTGTTTGACGATCACCAAATCCATAATTTTGCAGCGTTTTCCTGTCTAATATTTGTTCACTTTTGGGTCGATATAGTTTGCTGGAATACATAAGGTTTTAGATCTTGAAAAATGATTTGGAGGATTTCGGATGTTTAATGTATGTTGGCCTCAATAGAAACAATCATATGATGTAACTAAGTTGCCTTGAAAATTTTCTCATTCAAACTGATTTGGATATGTAAAATACCGGTCTGCATTTGTTGATGCCTTTTACCAATTATCTGGAGGAAGGTTGCCTATTATGTTGCATTGCCAACTCCTGTTCTGTTTCCTTCATAAAATCAAAATTTTTTTTATGAATGCAATTCTAGAAGTCGTTGTTTAGATGTTTGGTACAAAGAAAATACAAATCATGCGTAACTCGGAGCCTGTACGTGTTTCTGACAACTCAGTTATCAATTATTAGAATCTAGGTGCATTTTTGAGACAGCTTCTTGAAAATACGATAATACATAGCTCTGTTCATTATGCACAGCATTACATGCCAAAGTACTTTGATGACATTATAAAATTAAGCCATCGAATGATGAAAAATGGTACCAAGCAAAAGGAGTCTTGCGATAGTGACATTATTAGATCCCATGTGCAGTTTTGATACAGCTTTCTGAAATACTATAATACATAGCTTTGTCCTTTGATTTCATGAACACAAGCATTGGATTGTAGAGAATAACAGAGCCGTTGGAGAATCATATATATCAAATTGATTCCTCTAAAGCTGAGCCTGCAGAAGAGCCTTAGAAATGGGTTAGAGATAGACTTTTGAATACAAATAATCATGTTGTGAGTGTTCAGAATGATGATGGCAGGGGACTGTGTTGTACCATGTAACGTTTCTTAAGGCCCTCAACAAGCTCCTTTGGATCCTGCCTGGTTTGTTTATAAGCCTCGTTTTTCTCCATCTCCTGGCACAATTTCATATCAAACTAGAAATTCAGAATCATATGTCAATTCACGGCTTCAAACTAGACACATCCGGTAAGTTTCATCATACCTCAATCCAAGTTGCCAGGTTAGGCCTGCCTGCTGTAATGTCATATTCCTTTACGTCCATCAAGAAAGCCCGAAATCTTTCAATAAATGGAGCATAAGCTATATCCACCTGTATACGGTATGACAGGCTATAAATTATAACCGTTTCTCTTTTCAATTTTTGTCCATAGGAATACTTGAGGTATGCCATTTTCTTAAGTTTCAGACTTCTAGTTCTCAATGCTTGATGAAGATTCAGCAAAACCAGTATACAAAGATGAACATATATTTTTTCAGCATAGACAAAAGATCTTCACTTACCAGACTGAGCTGGCCAAGGAAGAAGGGTCCATCATTGAATTTGGAAAGAGCTGCTTCAATGTAATCAAATGCAGTGCCTGCCAAATTTTAACACTGCAATCACTATAATAATTGTATAGATAACAAAAAATTGAGAGCAATAAAGGTTAAAGATCAGCTCACCAGCTTCTCCCTCTCCTTTGAAGGAGGAATACACTGTTCTATTGAACGTGTCAGTGTAGGATAGTAACTCCTCAGCAAATTCTTCCTTGGCAGGGTCCTGGAATAGATCATGCATGAACATGTAGTTAGAGAAACTATATCCAACTGAAAACAACTCATACAAATTCGAAAAAACCTTACATCAGGAAAAAGTTTTGGCCCTTCAAACTGACTGTCAATATACTTGATCAAGTCAAGGCTCTCTCCTTTCACCTCATTATTGTGTTCCAAAGATGGCACCTGCATAGAACTCCAAGTCAATTAAGTACTGCAGAAAAGAGAAGGAAGTTTTATTGCAGGAGAAAACATGAAATTATCTTTTTTAAATTTAGAATCAGTATGGTTTGACCTTGTTAGCGGGGTAGACTTTCTCCTTGTACCAATCAGGTCGGTTTTTCAGATCAATAGGAACTAATTTTATCTTGTCCTGCAATCCCTGCTTTCCCCACAATGTTGGAGAGAAAAAATACTCAATTTCAGAAGTAAAAAATTAGGAACAAGAGAAACTAAAGAATCAATGATACTTGTCTGCTCCAGACCTTACAATTCCGAGTAATCCACACCCGCTGCGCATATGGGCATGTGTATGATATATATAACCTTCAACATATATAGAAAATGAATAAACACATAACCCCAACATTCATATGGGCATTCAAACAAACACATGAACTGCAACTAACAGAATGCAAAGATTCCCACAATAGTAGTTCAGATAAAACAAGTGAAGGCGTGAAGCAAATCTAAACCGAACCTTGTCGTTCCATCGAAAACTGGAGGTGGGTCTGAGGTGGAATCGAGAGCCGGTGGGAGAACCTCTTGCACACTAATACAGGGAGCAAAACAGAATTCACATAACAAAGAACAGCCAACAAACCCAGAAAGGAAATTTGGTTTCCATTGGAAGGGGGGGAACGAGTTACCTACCCAGTTGCCATTATCAGTGATATCCTCGAAGTTCTCTGTCTGGTAGACACCGGGGACAAGTGAGTCCGATGGGGGAAAGAGAGAGCTGCTTGGACTTGAAGCGAATCACAGCAATGGTGTAATAAAGATAAAGTGGTGGGGAATCTTGTAGGGGAAAACGAAAGCGGAACAGAGAAAATCATTGGTGCACTATACGTCAGGGGTGACGAAGGAATGCCACTGAAAGGTCACATGTCTTGCCTGTTTTGGCTCTGAAGGAAGAAAAGTTGCCATAGGATAGAACTTAAAAAAAAAAAAAAATTAAGAATATAAATTTTATTAATTTTTAAATAAAGTAATAAATTTTTAATTTTTTTATTTAAAGGTATTAATTATATATTTTTTATTTAAAGATTCATTGGATGGTTAAAAAAATTATTTGTCTCATTATCATCACCATTTAATTAATTTTTAAACAAAAAAAAACATTAAATTAACATCTATTTTTTTAAAAGGTAAAATACCCAAATCCATCCCCAAAGTATAGTGGCAGGGACGGATCCACCATCGAACAAAAAATGGGGACAAATTTACCTATAAAATTTTTGATTTGGACAAATCACTCCAAATTTAACGCGTAATATCATTTGACATCAGCAATATGTTAATTTGACGTCATTTGACGTCAGTAATTCATTAACGAATTAACGAATTGCTGATGTCAAATGACATTACACGTTAAATTTGAAGTGATTTATCCAAGTCGAAAACTTTATAGATAGATTTGTCTTCATTTTTTGTTTGAGGGTAGGTCCGTGCCTGTCACTATACTTTGAGGGTGAATTTGAGTATTTTACCTTTTTAAAAAATCTTTTTTTTTGTTGTATGGTTCATAGAATTGTGAATGCATGTGTTTCACTTTATTTAAAGTGAAAAAAAAAAAGAGATTTTTGACAATTCTCACTATTTTCAAGAATGAAAACTGATTGTAAATTGATGGAAGCGTACTTATTGAATAAATAATGAGATGAGCTGCGATTAGATGGTTATCGCATAAACAGAGGTGTATTTCTACATAAAGATTATTGGCCGTGTGAACAGTGTGCTAGCAACGTAAAAAGAAACTTAACAAAAACTAAGTAGAAACATATACATGTATATAGCATTTGGATAGTTTGAGAGGGGCAAGCCTTCGTTTTTGGTCTCCATGTTTATATGTATTTATAGTGAAAAATGTCCGTGGTAGCATACTGGAAATCTATGGCAAATGATACCTATATAACAACACAACTAATCCACTGTTTACGTGGCAACAATCATTTGAAGGAAAATCAGCAATTTATTTTGATTTTAGTTGATGAGATCGCCACATGGTAAGACCATGTACATGCTTAATTATCTCCTTCAAAACTTAATCCTTTAAAAACCCTTGATTTGCTTATGATTATCTTCAAAATCTTGCACTTAAATCATTAATTAAATCATTTAATTATAACCATAATGGGGACATGAGCACTATCTTATTTATTACAAAAATTAATGTAAATAACATTAATTGACGCATCTAACCCTTTGTGTCAAGTGGTTTTAGACCACTTTGAGGTGCATTCCCCTTCTTTTTTACTTAGAGCTCTTTTACTTAGAATTCGAGGCCGTCACATAACATTTTATTAAAAAATATATATATTAATTGACATTTTTAAATAAAAAAATCATGCAATTCGTATTAGTACATTTTTCTGCTTTGAAGCATCCCCACGTATCACATCACACGAGTGAGCCTTTCCAATGTCCATAGGGATTTTAAAAAAAATGAAAAAAAATTCCTGAACACTCCTAGGAGTCACCAAAATTTCAGTTCCGACGGAATTTTTCAGTGCCAGTCCAGGGATCAAAACTCAAAAAATTGCTTGATCAAATGTGATTAAAATTAAAAAATGTGTTTACATATTGAAACTGACATTAAAACTAGCTCGTTTGGGTCTGAAAAACATTATTCTGAATGCATCTTCATGAGCTTGTATCCAAAAAAGTATCATGTGAAAAGTATTTGCAATTTTCAGTTTCATGTCAAAATCAAAATTTAAATAGAAGTTACCAATACCAACCACCATCCTACCTATCAAAATGCAAACTAACACAAAAAAGCATAAATTACTTTCCAACTCTTCCTCCTAACTTTCCGATACAACTTTGGTCGACCCAATGCCACTTTATGGAAACTAGTTTCTGAGCAGCGGTGGCCATACAATGGGAAAAATTGAGTGTCATCTCTCCTATTCACTAAGGAAAATAAATATATATAAACAAAAAAAAGAGTCTCTTAATACAGAGGAAGAGTATGGGGATAGGGTAATAGATGTTTAGAAGCTCTTCCACTAAGTGTTTGTGATTCCACTACCTCCACGGATTGAAAGCATGGGTCCATGTGCAATGCTGCGGCTGATCAGATGGGAATCCAGAAACAAAACTATGACTGTTATATCGTCATGAAAATGCCTCCTCACCCCACGATCAATTTTTTTCAAATCTGAGTATCTCATTTCTCTTTTCTTTGCTGCTTCATGGAGTGCAGCTTTAACCAGTTTCCTTGCAATACCCTGCACAAGTGTGTATGTTATATTTAATCCAAAAGCAACTTAGAAAAGAAATATAACAATTAAAAAAAAAAAAGAAAAAAAAAAAACAGGCTTTTAAGATAGCTTTATGATAATATGACACATCAATGTGGAGAGGAAAGGAAATCTTAACATTATCTGGTGTTGCAAACTTAACACTTAACAAAAGCAAAAAACGGCAGCTTCAGGGGTAAGCAACAAGTTTCTTGGTTGGAAGAATAGAAAGGAAAACAGAAAAGGCTAAAAATTGCCACATTCCAAATTTCCAATTAACTAAAGGAGGGGTTATTGCTACTTTGGATTTATAAGGTATAGACTAAAAATAAACAAAAAGAAATCCTACATTACGTGGTGAGTTGTTGACCATGTTGACTGCCTCCTGATTGCTAAGGTGCTCCCACAGGCCATCGGATGCAAAAATAAGAAACTGATCTTCAGGGTAGAGTTTCTGCACCACAATTGTTGGCTCAGCCTGAAGGATTGGCTTATGGAATGGTTCTGGGAGTCTAAACCTTGGCAATAGAGGTTCTCTGTTGAATTCTGACTTCTTCAGATAGGCATCGCCAATGGATCTTGAGATCTGAAAAAGATCAAGTTCTATTAACATGCTAATTCTCAATGTCTGCCAGATGTTATGGCACAATATTCTGAAACCCCAAAACGAAAAATATTCTGTTCAAGGTCATTGATCACATTTTGGTTTACTTAGAAAGCAATTTCAGCATAGTAATTACACTGAATCATTCCATGTATGAAAACCTTAATGTGCCAAGCTGTTTTTCTCCACAAGCAACTTAGAGTTTTGCATCAATGACTATTTAAATGATGAAAAAATGACAAGTTTCTTGTTTTTTTTTGTAAGGTACATGAAAAAATAACAAGTTGATAACAAAACAAAATTAACATTAGAATCCTCAAGAATTACCTGTATGATACCCTTCACACGCCAAACTTTGTGCTTCAAAACCACAATCTGTGGATCATCGGGATGCAATGAATGCAACTCGTCTCTCACAGATTCCAAACTGGCATTGTGCTCAGATGATAACTGAACAGCTTTGACCTCTTTTACGGCATTTTCCAGTCTTCCTAACACCACTCGAGAATCTCCTGCATTTGCAATGTATAGCTGTCCACTACATATAACCCCTACCAAACAACATGAACCAACAGAAGCTATCTCCGGCTTAATTAGAAACTGCCTCTTTACAAGATTAAGAAATTCCTCTTCAGTTGCCAAAAATGCTTGGTTAATTACATCAGCAGACATCCCATGATTCTCACTTGTAAATTCTGCACCATTAATAGCTGTCAACTCAGTAAACATGTGTATTAGCTATCATAAGCAGGAAACTAAAACTAGGAAGAAGAGGGAAGGGAGATTTTTCCTTGCAATTGGCATCCCATGGATGGGGGAAGAAACTAGAATTAGTCCATAGTTGACAACTTTCCCATCACTTGATTACCATAAAAGCAACTTTCCTTGCAATAGGCATATAAGTGGGAAAAAAAGAGTTCTCAATCTCAATATAACAAAACAATGGCCCAATTTTAAGAATCTTAAAAGATCCTAAGAGCTCCAAATTATGCTAAATTCTTTGGCCAAAAAACTTCAGGAAGTTATAATTGCAGGTATCTTACTATTAAGTTTCTGAATTCTGTACAGGAACTAAACCATCCTTCTAATCCATTCAACCAAAGTTTGATTTTGTGATTGAGGACTACAAGAAAAGACAAGTTCACAGATAAATGCAACTTATTATAAAGCTCCAAACACAGTCAGACATGCCTACATTAGCCTCATGGATGCTCCTAGTAGGAAAGCAATTGAGCTTCAAGTAGCTTGGGAATATCAAACATATTCCTTTCATTTTTTCACAATTTTCAAGAAGAGTTGAAGACAATAATAATGTGGGATTCTCCATGATGTCCAACATCAGTGAGTAACCAAACAACTAACTAGAAAGATTGGTTTGATTAAACAAACAAAGAAAACATATCTATAAGTAGGACTGAATTCAGCAAGCAAGAGAAAGAAAAGCATACTCTTGATGTTGTCAAAAAGGTGTTCATTGATGAACCGGGCAGCTTCTGGACCTCCGTGGCCATCATAAATTCCAACAAATGTTCCATAAGGCCCTGACTCTAGTGAGCTAATTGGACCCGATTCAAGTTGGCTCTGGTCTTCCAATAGACTATTAGCCTGAATCACTGCCATTGAAAAGTCTCCTCCAACATGCTGTCCAAAATCTTTGTACCATAACAATCCATCAACACGACCATCAGCATCCCCATATCTATTGGAACTTTCACCGACAACTGAAGGCCTCCAACAAGGTGAGACAATCCTCATAAAAGATGTTGATACCATAACTTACATATTCTCACCCAAATGACCCGGGAATACTATTCATAAAATCAATATCACCAATTATATCAACCCTAATAATCCGCTCTGCCTTCTGCTCAATTTCCCACTCCACAACAAAATTTTCAGAAATCACGTACCCACTGATAAATGCAGCCAGCATGAATCTGTAATTGCAAGAACATTAACAAGTTAAAGATTTCATCCCATAAACTGCATAATAAATGTTTCTGACAAAACATATGATAATTTGGCAGAAATACTGCGATGAATTCAGGGCAAAAAAAAATAAAAAAATGAAGAGACCATCAAATTGATATGAACAAGAGGCCATGATAAAGATTCCACTTTTGTAGTCTCTATATGAATAACAAGTAAGACAAAATGATGGGCATGCTGTAAAAAGCAAAATTAAGGACCCATCAATCTGTAAAAGAATACCAAATGGGAATTGAGGCATGTCAAAGAAACTTATAATACAGAGCTTGATAGCCAAAACAGACACAAACTTGACACCCAAATCAAAATTCCTCGATGGACATGTAGATTGAAACATCTATAAGATAGAAACCTTCCTGCATACCTTGAAAAGCAAAGAAAATTTTGAAGGATCTTTCAGTCACAGTCTAATCAAAGAAAGACCCAATATCATCAGAAAGAAATATCAAAGAATTGAGAAGGATAGAAAACAAATGTCTTGGAAAATTCTGGAATGTTCGAGATTGAGAGGATTAAAAAATAGTTGAAAGGTAGATCTAGGGGAGAGATTGAGGAGGAGGAGGAAGAGGAGGAGTTTGTTAATGGTTATTTTCATCTAATATAGCGTTTGGGGAAACCATGAGAAAGGAGGCTTTTCTCCAATAAGCGGGTTGAGACTTGAGAGGTTGGAGCTTTCAGTTTCGTAATTTATTGGTTGGGGTTTTGACTTTGATCTCTAACTAACCCCCATTTTAGGCCATTTTTACTGATCTCCCTTCTCCAGTTCTTCCCAAAAAAAGTAGATAAAAATCTCCCCTTCATTTTCAAAGAAAAAAAAATTATAAAAATTTCATTTGTCCTTTTATTTTCAAATGTTTTGGTTTATATTAGTAGGTAAAATAAAACCCTTCAAATAACTAGTTGAGTAATGTTTTATCTAAATTGTTGGAGATAAGAATCTCTAGATAAGAATATAAATTTTACTATTTTTTATCTAAAAGTATAAATTTTTTAATTTTTAACTTAAACAATAAATTTTTATTTTTTTATTTAAACATACATATTTTATCTTTTTTTATTTAAAAATTTATTAAATGGTGATAATAATATAGCAAATGACAATATTAATTTCAATAAGGTAAAATTTATATCTTTAAATAGAAAAAATCATAATGTTTAAATCTTTAAATAGAAAGAAATAAAACTTTATCATGTCTAATTTAGAAATATAAAAAATTTATATTCTTAAATAAAAAAAAATAACAAAATTCTTATTCTTATTTGATCTTTTTCTCAAATTGTGGCTTTAAATTTGCTTTGAGTTCGAACATGAAATTTCTAGGAGGAAAACATAAATTAATGTACATTTATTCTTATTTAATGTTGTGTGATCATTGCAAATAATAGTTGAAAGAATTTATTATATCATATATTTTATTGAAAAAATTGCCGTATTCTATAAACAAAAATCTGATGGGTATTTTGAATTGTACCCTATTAAGCACGTACTTTTTGTAATCCAATACAATTTACCGGATAAAAATGAAATTGTTCTATAAAAGCAAAATATATGCTCATAATTTTTATGGGATGTCGAAATTTTTTCAAAATAAATTTAATCTAATCACTAACCTTTTTGGCACAGATATCTATAAAACATTTCAAAAGGCAATCCGGAAATTTTAATTAAATTTTCCATAGAAAAAATATCAAAATTGAGAAGTGAAAATACAATGCTAAGAAAATTCATCATTTTCATTTTATATATCTTGAAAATTTATTTGTATAGTTAGATTATATATATATTTTATCTTAATTGTACAATAGAAGACAATCATTTTTTAATTTTTATCTCACTCTATTTATATATCATGTGAATCGAATTCAGAACCTTTTATTTCTTATAAAAAGAGATGACTATGAGTTATTTAAATTATTGGGTAGTTAGATTATATTAAATTATATAATAAGGACAAATGAGAGGTAGATTTCTCTGCTATTGGATCCTCCCATCCACTGCTCTCTTTTGCAAAGTTGGGGGGGACTACTGTGCAGGGTCTCATAATTTTTAGAAAATAAGGTAGATTAAACACTTTTTTTTTCATGTGTGTATAGAACAAGTGCATATCAATTTTAACTTAAAAAAAAATTAAAGTCCCAATTTTAAATGATATCATTTTATTTAATTAAAATTTAATTCAAAATTTAGAAATCCAATACTATATTTAAATTTAAAAACTAA